CAAAATTTTCGGTTTTTTTAGATTTTTCTCGAAAACGGTAAGTTTTATCAAAAATATAGCCTAGACAAAAATTGTAGATCATAAAATTTCTACAAAAATTTTTCCCATTATTTTTTTCCTAAGAATCACCATTCCTAAGATATCACCATTCTAAAAGTTGAAATAGTTACATTCTACATGATATGCACACAAATACCATGTATAAACATAGTCAGGCACTTAATATAAGTAAAAATGTCTATTTGTATCTCTTATATGTTTAAATCATACAATTCTGAGTATATACATAATAATATTTATTTGGCTTTGAGACATACATATTTACAATATGTTAAAAAATGTATAAACATATACCTAAGACCTATTAGCCTTGTCAACACATACAATTTTAAAAAGTAGAGACATGCTACAATTGAGTTTAAAATAAAATACAAATTAAAAATGGTATACAATAGGGCAAAAACATTAGATAATAATTATAATAAAGAGATAGCATTACTGATCACCAAGTATCAGTCATAAATTCTGCATAGGAATAATATGTTTTGGACAAAAGATATGCATAAAGCTTATTTTTGAATACATTAAAGATTTTTTCATTACACTTGAGTATATCTATTAAAACATGCAACACCTCTGTAGATTTCGGAATTCTGTCCAACTGAGAGTCTAGAGAAAGACTGCTGTAGATATTTGTGATTGCATGTGTTTTAATTGTGTGAGTGTCTATAATCTGATAGTTGGGATTCCTATTTTTTTATATTAAGTATTAGTAAGTATATACACAAAGATGGAAGTGTTAGGATTTTAAAGTCATGAAAAAGTTGTTTGCAGCTAGTTGTTCTTGAAACCCCAGCCATGCATCTTATAACTTTTTTTTGTACACAGAAGGCTCGCTCCAGTTGAGCTGAGCAGCCCCAAAAAATTAGACCGTATGAGATAATTGATTCAACCAAACCAAAATATTTTAATTTTATTATGTTATTTGCAAGTTGAATTCACAGAGGTGTAGTGAATGGTCTGATAGGAAACTATTTTGAACAATAACATTTTTATATTGAATATTTGTAAAAAGTGGATCAACTAAAGTTGAGCTAATACTGGTGACCTGTGTTGGTTTTGTAATAATGTTGTACAGGACAAATACCCTAAAAATATTCATAAGTATTTTTGTTTCATTACTATTAATAAGTAAGTCTACATTCATATCACCGCATATACCACATTCATATCACCGCATATCTAGAGGGGTTAAAGTAAAAACACAAAAAATCATATCAGTATCACAAGTATCAGTAAACAATTTGAAATCTGATTTGGGTGATCTATAGAGAGATATGACAAAAATGCCTTTATTTTTAAAGATAAATTTACAAACATTTATTTCGATAACTTTCTCAATAGTAAAATTGCAGGTTCTATTAACATACTACTTTCTGCATAAATAGAGACTCCACCCCTTTGGTATTGTGTCCTACAATGCTTAGTTATTAAAGAATAATCACAAAGCTCTAACATATCAATTTCATTAGCATTTAGCCAATGTTCTGAAAAACAACATATATCTACTTTATTCTTTTTTAAAATTTGTTCTAGCTCAGTAATTTTTTTCTGTATCCCTTGTATATTGAAATGCATTAGTATGAAGTTTTTGTTACCATGATTTTTTGACAGATGTGCTTCATTATTTCTGATTTCTTCAATCTTGGTGTTTTTGTTGTCATATTCTCCTGTTTGGATTATATTGTGATTGGCATCCGGAAAATTTTAATCTAAAGTCTATTCAAATTTAATTTACGCCTGATGTAAACAGAAGCAGGTGGACGCTAAAATTGAGCAGGGCCGTATTTTACTTTTCCGTCTTGCAAAAATGTAAAATAAAAGAGTGTAATTGTGAAATTATTTTTTTATTACGTTAAAAACATATTTTGTAAACTAAAACTATAAAATAAATGCATACACGGTCTCCCAGACTTTAGTGACATTTCTGGACGAAGATAGGTGAGCGATATACACTGCGTTAACCTGCAATACAAATTAATAAATGTATTTGACTTTAAAAGAGATGTTTGCATTATATTTAGTTCATTACATATGTCTACTGTGCATTAAAATAATCATAGTATAAAATTATATTATACAGGGTGTCCAAATAATTGCAAATTCTTTAATAGCTAATATATATCTACTAAAAGCATTAAAAAAACTTTAAATATAAGAGGTATTTGGTATTTGAATTTGGTATTTGATTTAAAATTGTGCATCTTAAAAAGAAACTTTTTGTATTTTTGACAACTTTTGTTCTTTATTGTTCTTGTTCTACTAGTATTTAGATTAGACACCTTGTACCCTGTATTATAGCAATCTTCCTTACTTGACTTCATTATTCTGAATCTGATAAATTAGTTAGACTTGAAGGGCTATCTTTATTAATCAAAATTACAAGTGGTTCTACTTGAACCTCTATAATATTATTCAACTCCCACATTTTTACTTCAACTTTTTGGCGAACATGGTCGATACACTTTTTCCATTTTTCTGGAGAAATTAATAATATTACTTCTTCAAAAAGAATTTTAATGTCTCCAGATTTAAATGTTGAGTTTTTATCTGCTACGTATTGTTTAACGTCAACCTAGATTAATTCAATATTATGTTGTTTTGCTGCTTAGCCATTTCATCTATTACATACCTATCATAATGTTTATGTTGCTTACCAAGTTTTAGAAGTTGGATCTTAAGCATCTGGTGAATCTATTCCACATGAAACTGAGTCTATAAATTTAGGGTTATACTTTGACGATCAAATGAGGTTCAGTCAACATGTCAACTATGTGTTACAAAAGTGTTATAGTGGTCTTCGCTTGCTTTATTCTAATAAACACATCCTACAGAACGAATCTATAAAACTAAAACTTTGCCAAAGCCTTGTAATTTCAAAAATATTATATGGAATTGTTGTGTATTATCCTTGTTTAACAGCTGCTGATCGTAACCGTTTGCAAATTATGCAGAATACATGCTGCAGATTCGCAAAAGGACTTAGAAAATTCGATCATATTTCCCAAGCCTTCTCCCAAACTGGCTGGCTAACTGTTAATAATTTATATATATTTATGTTCCTTTCTTTTCTTTTTAAAATACTTTCTACTGCGTCACCATTATATCTTATGAGCAAATTAACTTTTAGATCGTCTACGCACAATGTAAACATAAGAAACAATTTTAATTTATCAATGCCTCGTCACTCTAGTGCTATTTATAATCGTAGTTTTTCGTATAACGCGGTTGTTCTGTACAACACTTTACATACCGATATTAAAAAATCACGATCTCTACCTGTTTTTAAAAATGCTTTAAAAAGGCAACTCTTTATTAGTCAAATGTAAACTGGTAGATATAATGAGCTACTAATGTCAAATTGTATTGATAAACTTTTAATATTATAGTTATTTAAATGTATATGTTTTGTTAGGGTTAGGTGTAAGAATAGCCACAGGCTAAACCTCGCCCATGCTAACTGTACAAAAATGTAATTATTTTGTGCAAATAAAGACCCGTTATTATTATTATTATTATTATTTGGTAGTCGAATTCAATTTTTTTCCCTTATAGCCATTTTTAAATATCACCTTTTTTAGACGTCGTTGTAGGTATTTTTTCCAGCTTTCTCGAATAATAATGCAGTTATCTTCTAATTTTGGTAGGGTGTTTGAAAACCATTCTTTGAACGATTCTCCACACATTTCTTCATGGTAGTCACCGGATTTTTCAACTCAAATACATAAAGTGCATTAGAGACAAAGCCTTCTTCACTTCCAATATGGCATATAATGAGCTGTTTTTACGCACATACCTGATGGGTTTTTAAAACCAGTTAAAAGTTCATCCAAAAAGGCTTGTCTGGATGAAAAAACCGACATATCGAAACATACTTTTGATTTGGTGTGGCCTGCGTTAATCCAAGTCTCATCAAGATAATATATTTTTTGCTTTTCTTCTCTGTACCGTTTTATTTTTTGTGGCGTAGGACGAAACAATTTCATTTTGTCTAAAAGTAAACTATTTTTTCCTCGAGTTTTAAATTTAAAATTAAAGGTTTTGAAAAACTTGTAAAATGTAGCTCGCTTAAAAGTAGACAAATATGGATCATCGTTGACTTCTTATAAAACCTTATCGATTGTTAGAAGTTAATTTCTAAAGAAGAATTAATGTACTTTGCGCCTTATTGCATTTTTATCAAAATCATCCACAGAGCCACTAGTTTGTTTATAACGTAGCTTTCTTTTTGGTTCAGAAAATTTATGAATCTGCCTATACTTCTTCATAACATTAAAAACGGTTTTAGCGCACATCCCTGTTTTATCAGCAACTCTCCTTTCAACATCATGTACCAACATAAAATTTAATGCTTATAAATATTAAGAACCATTTCTTTAGTACCGATGACCAAATGTCCCTTTTTCGGTCGCTTTTTAGAAGGAGTAAAAACATTTTTCTGGACTTCATCTGCTGTATCTGTGGAGGACATAGTGTCACGCAGCAGTTACAAAATAGTCAATTAAATGTCCATAAAATAGAGTAAAAAATGTTCAAACTAACAACCACAAAAACAAATAAATAACATAATATATGTATATCTAAACTATAATATAATGAATTATAATCAATCAAACATACAAAATGTCCAAACTAACCAACACGGTGAATGCTACCAAAACGCCGTTTATAATTATCCAAATTGAACTGAATTCGACTCTGACAAAAAAATATTTGCGCGTCGTCTAAATTACTAACGACCGATTAACCAATAGAAGCGCAAAGAAAATTCCACGTGAGCTGTTGCTGGATGGGAGAGATTGTTTTGACGCGGCGTAAATGAAATCTGAATAGACTTTAGTAGGTTTGCTTCCTGTTTGTTCTTATATCTGTTTTCTTCTTTTATAAAGTCATAATGGTAGACTGCTACCCCACGTGGCGGCCAGAAACTTCCAGTGTACGCCTGGTCCATAAGATCATATTGCATGCTGATCTTAAAACATTTGTTTTTTTTTTGTATGTTGATAATTCCTTCACAGATAACAGATCTTTTCTGTCACACTTTTTTTCTAGATGTGTTATGACCATATTTTCTGTGATGTGATCTTTAACCTTGCTAATAAAAAGCCAGAATCGTTTTTCTTTAACTCTTCCTACAAAACTGTTTAGTTCTTCCGCATCATTTACTTCTGCTACACCAATGTGGCATTTTGGTTGTCTTCTTTTTCTGTATTTTACTGTTTCGAATGGTATTTCTTGATTTTTAAAATGTTGTGTATTTGTTGCATCAGGATTTGTATCATCCATACCATTTATTAACTCAGTCATAATAGCTAATTGTCTTTTTTCTAAGTTTTCATTAAGTTTCCTTAGTTACTATTTTCGTTGCTTCAGCATAATCGATATTCTGTTTATTTACTTGATAACTAATATTTTGTTTCTTATTTCTTTGTAGAATTTGGGGACTAGGGATTCCCTTTTTTGTAATTAAGTTTATCTGTAGTTGACCTAGAAACAGGTACTTCGTTATCGGCACTGAACAAGTTTCTTATCTTTTTCTATTTCATCGGCATTAGATTTCAATTCATTAAATTTTAGACAGTGACTGGCAGTACATCGGATGTACGCGCTTTATTTGTACATCAGTCTCCTTTTGACAGAGAAGGTGAGCTGTGTCCAGGCCGTTGGTGTTTATGCCGGTCGGCGTAGCCAGGTACGGATTGAAATTTTCTGGTGGCGGCGAAGCCGCCACCCTACGAAAAGTCATTGCTTCGTCTTCTTGTTGTCACGGCATTATTATTATTTGTTCATGTATGTGAAATTTGCTTCTAATGTTTATAAAATACTACAGAAAAATACTTAAGTCTTCCACTCCATCATCTGAAATAAAGTTACGTTAGAAATATGATGTACAAATAATGGGGATACATCCGATGTACAAATAATTCGTGTACAAACGATGTACTGCTAGTCACGGCGTAAATTTTAATTGTAGATCCAAGTATTTAATTTTTTCGATTTTAATTTCATTTTCCGGAGATACAATTTTGTCGTTCATTAATTGGTTAGTAGTTTGTTGTCCTACTACTAATAATTTTAAATTATTGTAGGCCTCAATGCGAAAATTGTCACTTTTAATTTCCACTTCACAATCTGCCTTTTTAACGTTTTTTGGTTTACAGCATCTAACAACAGGATTCACTCTTCATGCACACGATGGATGCTATTTTAAATCACAAATTTCACATTTTACGCTGGCGTTTACCGATTTTTTACGGTAATTACACTCATACGCACCTTGCGCACTAGTCTTAGTCTCAAATTTTGACTTTGACCTTGAATGACTTTTTTAGCACTCATGGGGACTTTTGAAACTTTTTTTTACTGGTGTACTCAAGGTCTCTACCAAAATTCAGCTCTGTCAGAATTTTTGTTATTTGAAATGTCTATATTGATCGAACAATCACTTATCTTTAGTTTGAGAGTACCTATGCATGCTGTTTGACCACATCAATTTTGAATTTTCCAAATATATTCAAAATGTATAGGGTAGGCACTTGGTGTAGGTACCTTTAGTTAGCATTATTTAACAACCATGTAAATAATACTATTCAAAACAATAGTTTTTACACAAATGAAAATTTATTCACAGGTACTTGGATGGTACTGATCCGAACACCCAGAAATGCAGTTGTTCCAGTGTTTCATTAAATAGAAGAATAATTAAGATTGAACATTCTTATGTGTGAGTAGAAAGCAAATGAAAGTATATTTTATGCAACATTGTTTTTCAAATCAACCCCTAAAGGTCCACATTTGAGATCTGTGAAGTGTAGATATGATTCGTCCAATTAAAAGTTTGTTTTATCCACCCCACAAAAGAGGGTTGATTGTTTAGAAAAACAAGCATTTTTTCTCATTAAGAACATTACTCTATCTTTTTCAAATTAAATACTAAAATCAATTGAATATCTTAATGATGCACAAATTCATATTTTGGGGTGTTAACTTGACAGACATCCAAATTTTTGACATGATTAAAAATAGTTTAATACATACAAAGTGTCGAAAGATGTCTGATGAACTTACCAGAGTCAATAAAATATAACAATAACATAAAAGTATATTAAATTAATAAAACTCTTTGGGACATTGGGTAAATTAAACTCATTTTAAGTGCACATTGAAATTTTAACCTAGAAAATCCAAGAATAATTAAACTTTTAAAATTCAATAGGTTATATACATTTAATATTTTTGCTAATTATATTTATTTTTTAGATTATCACCTTCAAAACTTCATGCGCAGCTAACTAAAATAAGAAGCAAATATCATATCCAGGCTAAGAAAGCTCACGAGGCCAATAAAACAATTATTAGATTGAAAAAACGGGTTGAGTCATTGCAAAATGTGATAGCCAATTTAAAATCAAAAGATATACTATCTAATGCAGAAACAAATCATTTTCATTAAATAATTGAAAGTATACCTAACACCGTCTTGAATAGAATGTCGAAATATGGAAAAGGATCAACATCCAGAAGATCTGAGACATTTTTCCATAACTTTACAGTTTTATTCTAACAAGGCTTATGAACATGTCAGAAAAATATTTAATTATTGTTTACCACATCCAAGTACAATCAGAAAATGGAGTAGTAATGCATTGATACTTTAGCACAAAAAGTGAGTGATGCTAAACATGAAGGCAGATATTTGATTTGTGACCTGGTTTTAGACGAAATGTCAATAAAAAAGCATTTAGATTTCGATGGCCAACGTAATTGGGGATTTATTGACATATAAGATGATGGTGTAGACTTGTAGACCTTGCTACTGAAGCACTTGTTTTAATGGATGTTTGTTTAAACTCCTCTTGGAAGCTTCAAATTGCATATTTTATCAAGTCTCTTTAAGGAGCCGAAAGTGCAAATATTCAAGAAGCACTCAAACGCTTATCTAAAATTAATCTAACCATTACGGCTGTTATATGTGATGGACCTCCTGAATACTTCACCATGTGGGTTGCAATATTGATGGTATTTGCAATTTATCAATGAGTTTTATACAGCTGTAAAATCCAAGTGGCAAACAAAATTTTTTTGGGATGTTTGATATTTGCCATATGCTAAAGCTGCTTCGAAATGCATTTGTTGTAAAGCAAGTATTAATTGATGTGGATGAAAATTCTATTAAATGGGAGTACATTGAAAATTTAAATTCCATTCAAAATGAAGAATGTCTTCATTTAGCAAATAAACTGGGACGAAAACATAATTGAATGGAAAAAATATTTAATAAAGGTTAGTAAAGCACTATGTCAATTTAGATTACTTTAAATATCTTATGTTTTTATACTTTAAATTTATTTTTCTAATTTTTACTTATAAAGTGACGTTTTTTGTAATCGCAGTAAGTGTCAAAATGATCTTCATTATGCAACCAGTTACATATTTTTGAAAATTATGAAACTGATTTCGTAAAAATTCATTATGCCACCAAAAACAATCCTTTTTTTGGTTTTAAAATCAAAAAATCAGTATATACATTGATATTAAAAGTTTATATCAAAGAAGATGATTGACTTATAAAATAGAATTTACTTAAAATTACAACCTAGTAATAATGTTGTTTTGGTCCTTATTTTCCATTGTAAATCAGGACAAAATTATCAAAACAGAATACATGACAATATAACCCACTTACTTGAAAACTAAATAACTTTAATAAATATCAAAGAAGGCAGTAGAACACCTAGGCAATTTTGAGTTTATTTATTTATTTATTTATACATTGTTCAACAGGTTAAACCCAATTACAGAACAGGAGTAAATTTGGAAGAAAATGTTTTATAATATTTTAAAAGCTTAAAAATAGCCTTAAATGAGGCGTAGTTCTTTTTAGGAAAACCCTTTAAAAAAAAACGGAGGTAATCTGCTGGCTTCGTTCGAACAGATAATATTTAAAATTAGCAATTTTTTAGTAACGTTCTATAATATTTCAAGAGCCTAAAAATGTGGTGTAGTTATTTTTTGAAAAAAGCTCTAAAAAACCGAGGTGCTCTGCTATATTCGTTCAAAGCTAGCAAAAAAAGCCTAAAAATATGACAGGTTTCAACTAAAAATTTTCTAGGTGCTGTGATGCCCTCTTTGACATAGTGATATGATTTTTTTTTTGTCAAAAAAAAAGGAATGAAGTTAAACATGCAACTAACAATACAATAAAATAGTATTGATTGCCTAGATGTCAGTAATGTTTTACCAAAACGCAATTTTATAAACTAATCAAAATTAGAATAAAATATTGGATGTAACACGTTACGAAATGCCGTTTTATGTAACTCGTTCATGTTGCAGGACCTCGCTCTGCTCGTTTCGCAAATATTTACTGGTTGCATAAAATAATGCACCACTCAGAAATCTAAACATAAAGAACTTCTAATATACCTACATATATCGACCATTATTCTTATTGTATATTATTCTTGTTTTATCAGAGAATATAACTCTCATTCAGTTAGGGATGGTCCAATTTTCTGTTTTATATACAGGGTGTTTCCGAACTTGGCGTCCAAATTTGTAGGGCGATTTCATTTTTCTAAAAAATTATAATAAACAAAATAGAGCCATTATAAAAAAAATTAAAGAGCGGGTCCTACCCTGAGCGCGTAGCGCAATAGTTGCCTGATCGGTTACTCATCGGGATTTACAACCCAAAAACATGCGATTTGCAATTTTGTCGATTCTAAGAGTAGCGCGCGCGAGTCGAGGCGGACCCATCGATGTGCAGGACCGTACCTGTTTAAAATTTTTAATTATTTTTATTTTAAATATTTTGGAACAATGAAATCTGCGAATCGGTTTCAAATTATGCGAACTACCACCCCTACAAATTTGGACGCCAAGTTCGGAAACACCCTGTATTTCTTATGACAGGAGATAATTACACCAACTATTGAATGGTGCATTAGGCCACTCAAATTTTTTTCTCCAAGTGGTCCTATATAAAAGGAATAGGAGTAGGGTTGCCAGATTTAAGAAAGGGAAAACTGAGACAACGGCGACGACAAGGGGATCAGGTTAAAAAACCAATTATTTTTATAAAATCAGGTTCTTTTTTCTGAAATGTTTTGTTAAAAATAAAGATCCTCAGCTTATATTTTTAATAAACCAGGTCCTTCTAGCGAGCTTCTAAAAAAAAGGTCCTCAGTTTATATTTTTAATAAACCAGGTCCTCCTTTTTCTGAGGAGCTTCTAAAAGAAAAGGTTTTACCTTTACCTCTTCAAAAAAGTCTTTATTTATAACTTTGGATATGCATTTGAGTAAA